AGCCCTCCACGCCCTCCAGCCCTCCAACTCCGCCTCCAAGTCCTATTATAAAAGTCCGAATACTCATGAACCCTGTACCATTATGAAAGTAAAATTGAAAAAGCCAAAAAGGGCCCAGAGTCCAGAGTCTCCAGAGACCTCTCTCTCTCTCTTTCTGCAGAGAGAATGCAGATTGATAGCGAGGCTCTTTTTTTTACGGTAAATAGTAAATACAGGCAGCCTGAGGCAGGTGAACAACGCTGGAATCTGGAATCAGGAATCTGGATCTAGACTTTTTAAAAAAAAAGACTATATGTATATTATTTTTTAAAGTACATATTATTATTTTTAAACAAAATTAAATAAATACACGCACTACTAGACTACAGAATATATAATTATGTAGAAACAGTAAATATATGCATTTATTAAAATTTATTTATAAAAAACCATAACAAAGCGTAAGGAAAAATGACAGGTGACAAAATATTGTCACCAGGAGCCCTATGATTGCATAGCAAAGTATATTCCAACCACTCAAACATCACGGTTAAAAAAGAATAGATTCCTGGCGCTGTGGACAAAGTCTGTTGACTCTGTTCTCTCTCGATTATTAACTTTGAGTATCGGGCTATCGGAGCCCACACAACAAGCAAGAGAAATCAGAAGAAGAAGAAAAAGAGGGGCAGTCAGGCTGTCCGAGTTGAGACTTGTGTGGGGGACTAAGAGTGCACTCTTCAAGAAGTAAATGCTGAAAATTGAAATGCAACACATCTCACGAGTCTCACGATATCATCACAAATACATAACAACGGGGCATCATTTACGAAGTGCTCATTTGTTTTTGCATTATCTTTTGAAAGGACTAGAGTGCGAAGTGAAATTTCACAATAATCAAAAATGACCGAGAGAAAAAATACGGCTCAGCCGAAGCAGGATACATCATCGGCCAAATATAGCGAACAAAGAACACCAGAAATGGACACAGAAGAAAATACCGACTTAAAAATTGCCGACGATGACAGTGCTGATTCAGACACACCTGACGATAGTGAGGCAAAGTGCACGACCAAGCGGAAACGGCGGAAGTTCAAAGATCTTGACCGACCCTTTGTATGTGACATCGCGAAATGCGGCCGACCATATGCCACGGAGCATTCGCTAAACCAGGTGAGTTTAGATGGTATGAATTGTATGCTGAGGACGCTACGTGTGTCATATATAT